AGCTTTTGATCCTCGTTTCATGCGTTTGGAGAATCGTTTCCAGTCATTGGAGAGGTCTATGGAATGCAATGACTTGGTCGGAGACATTCGGGAAATGAAAGATGAGATAATCTGGCTTCAAGGAGACTTTGTTTGGATGACGGAGCAAAGCGCCAGAGGTGACCACTACTTGATGCTGGCGTTGCTGTTCGTGTTTGCAGCCATTGCGTATATGTTAAGTACAAGTCAGTTTCCTTATGTTTAGTACTAAGGAATCTTGGAGTACAACGTAATGTTCCCTTAAGTCGAATGGTAGACTTCTATTATATTGTTGGTAGATTTGTTATAATTAATAGCTTTCGAGTAGTAGACTTCTTTGTAAAAGACTTGTCATGTTCCCTTATTTCAATTACAATCGAACGAATGGTAGACACATAAATATACTTAACACAACATAAATAGTAATAACTTTCATATAAGTCTACTTCACAATAAAAACAAATCTACTTAAGTAAACATAAGTCTTTCATCAAACATGAAAGTACAACTATTGATGCAATCAACGAGGCCATTCCATAGCAAATGACGGTACTATCCACCAGAAAGTGGCACACTCCAATTTCCAGAAGCAGGATTCGCAAAGTTGATCCCCATACGTATCGAGCAGGTATTCATCTCCCATCCAACGCATGTCTGGTACTTTGAGACAACTACAAATCCTTGTACTTAAAGATTTTTTATAAGCCTAGAAAACCATTTCCACCAGTTCCTCGGGCTTCTGGAAATTGAACGGAGGCATGAAGATCTTTTCCATAGTCAATCTCATTTTCGTTGCATCTTCCCGGGAGAGAGCTTTAACGGAGTTGAATACCTCTGATGTGCCATCGATGGTTAGATGTAACATAGTGTGGCAGTACTTACCCATGAGAAATCCATTGTTTGATGCCATTTTAATGAAATCCAACCCTGCTTGGAGGCTATTTTCGAAAAAAATCAGCGATAAACCTCTTCGCAATTGTGCGGATGGATTTCCTGCCTCCAAGCACCGTGTGAAGAATGCACCCACCCTTCCATGTTGATCCCACTTCCACGGCGCTAGGAAACCCGCTTCGTTAGAGATGTTGTTAAGTGTTTTCGACGAAACTTTTGCAAGACAAAGATCCGCATACGAATTTGAAGATATTTTTAACAATATCTCGTACAAAAGATCAGAAGGGAGCGAGTTGAGATTCGCCATAGGAAAATCGGGATGGGAAATGAATCTTCTCGGTTGTAGTATTTATAGAGAACTTACAGTTCTTTAAATCGATGCAACGGTTCTTTGGTAACGGTTTCACATAACCGTTACCAAAAGTCTACCAGAGGGACAAAAATAGAAAGATGTACAACACTGCAACCATAAGTCTACCAAACGGTAGGTTTTTTCGTAGATAGAACAATTCTTTTAGGACAAAAAAATAATTTCAATCCATAAAGTCAAATGTCTGCCAAACATTAACAATTAAGTCTACCTCAAGCATGAAAAATAACTACCCAGAGATATCTACCGCACGTATTGACAACTTTTTTCACATAAATCTACCGCTAAAGGACATAAGTCTACCAACTCAGAAAATAAATCTACTTCATTGTCAATAAATCTACCAAAAAAGTCAACTATGCGAGAAAGTCAACGCTTTTTTAACAAATCTACCAAAACTTTTGACAAGTCTACCGAAACATAATCTACCGAAACATAATAAATCTACCTCTCATCGTCAAAACTCTACCATGATAAGTCTACCAACATTTAAAAACTCTACCAACTCTCGAATAAATCTACCATCGATCTAATAACTCTACCGACAAAATTTTTGCGTTGACCAAAATTTCATAAGTCTACCGTCATAGCTTGGTAGACTTATTAAATTTTGAGCGTAATAATCTGCCTACGTGGCATTAAAAAAATAATGGCATTTTTGTAATTAGGTTTTTTTCGACAAAGGCGAAAAATGTGTTTTGGATATACTAAGTTAGTTTTGTAAAAAAAATAAAAGTGCATCGAACGAGTAATATAGATACTTTTTTAAGATTGGTATAGTAATTCTCCCTTTTTTATTTCTTACATTTTCCGTTGGCTGTGTTTTTTGTTTGTTTCAACTTTTGTAGTTGTGAAGCACACAAATCCCAAGTGGTATATAGCCTCTGGCAGTGATATTCTCGAGACTTACCGTCTTACTATAAAAGCAGACGCTGCTAATGCTTTTGCTGGTAGCGTAGCCTTCCATGTACGAGGTAACTTGAAAACAATATTTACTATTAAATCAGTAACAAACAGAATTTGTCTTTGACCCATAACATAACTCTATCCTCCTCCATCTGTTTTGTAGGTTCTTGTGAGGGAGATTTGAGTGTTAAGGGTACTGAACAATTGCATGTTGGGAATGGGAAGCGCGCCACCGAATCTAGTAGAGAGCTTTTGAGAATTAGCTTTTAGGAAAGCCGAGTAGCTAAAGTAGCTTCACTGGCCAGTGATGCATTCTTCCCAATTTGGTATTCAAAACCGTAGTTCTTCTCCTCATAATGGATTTTGATGGTTTTTCCTAATGGAATCAGCTAAATTGAGATGCGGTGAGAAAACTTTTATTGCTGCAACAAGAAGTATGGAGTCTCTCTGCTCTTCACCAATAACAATACATTTCAGCCATTAGATTTATTAGATTCTGAAGAAAGTCTCTACAAGAAATGATGAGTGGTAGATGATCTTGTAACATTGAAACCTTATGAGATATGATTCTGAATCCTTGAATAACTGTCCAAAACGCCGAGATAGAACTCTGGAAGATTTTACTTTATGTAAACCACAGCAGGAAAAAGAATTCAAAGCAGAGAAAAAAAAACAAGAATACCATAAGAGGTCTTAAAAGAGACTTTAAACCTTGTCATTACGAAAAGAAGAGTTGATTAATGTAGGAACATAATATGAAAAGCCAATAGAGTAATAAATTTCACACAAAATCTGTGAATGAGAAGTCACACTCACAGCCAAAATAGCAAAGACTCTTGTTTTTTACATGAAAATTTTGCTTGGCCTAGAAGATCAACACTATCAACACCTGTCCACACTCTAGGTTAGCTGATAATTCGTAGTTATTAGGGAGGAGGATTAATTATCACTTGCTCCTTCTTCAGATATGGAGCAGAATTTCAGAGGTTCGTTAGCATTGAGATCCTCTACGTGGTCTACAAATGCGTAAACTGCTCCACTATTCCCCAAACCTTGGATTTCAACACTTTGGAGAGTGCTCCTTTCGGGATTGAAGTACAAAACATAGAAAGGACTATTTGGATAAAAATTGTCCATAGTCAAAATAATATCACCTGTAGCTGTCACTCCAGCGATGGAAACATAATAAGGGTTAACCGGTGCATGCTTAGGCCAAGTATAGACATGTTTCGACCATTTTGGATTCTCCACATCCTCTAGAACCCACATACGCAACTCAGCGGTATTATCAGCCTTATCAAAATTCAGACTAATCACACCTAACTTACCTTTGTAGTTTACAAATTTTCCTGACAAAGCATGATGGGATCCTGTGTCAATAAACTTGAATTTCTCAGACCTCACATCAAAGCAAACTATATGAATTTCATAATCAGTTTTAGCCAAGTGAAATAAAACCCCATTGATGCAAATCCTTTTAGAAAAACCGAACTTGTATCCGGGAAAATTTATCTTACTCCTCCACCTAAGTTTTCCAGCTCCCAATGTCAGAATTCTATGAGGATCCCAATTAGAACAAAGCGGATAAGCTTTGGACAATACCTTGAATTGCTTGTCAATCGGATCAAACCCTAAATAGCTACATGAATATATGTTCTGTCTCGGTTTAGTTAAGCTTGCATACTTACCCGTGATAGGGTTAAGTATCACATCCACATACCCTGAATCCTTAGACCCCATATGAGAGAAATAGATCAAGCCAGAGACATAGCTACAAGTGTCTTCATACTCCTTATATCCACGGAACTCACTATGAAAATCGAACGCGACTACAAGAGATGACTTCGTCTTGTAATATGGATATTGAGGTTGAGGCGACGAGTAAAAGCTCTACATATCGTCTTTTTCGACCGCAAATAAGAGACGTGGACGAGCCGAGGACCTTGTCAGAAACAACTCGGTGAAATATGGACCGTGAAGCATGAACCCCATAGCTTCGACACGCAACAAAACTTATCGACTGACTTTAGAGGCAATCTTGAGAGTATCTCGAGAACGAGATCCATAGGTAAGGAATCTGAGTTTTTTTCCCTCTTCATGATCGTTCGTATTTGGAGAGATATATATGAATACAAATAAGAACTCAGAGAGACTCTAATATATATATATATAGGCTCTTTCCGTATTTCTTGCGAATTTCCTATTTTCTATAGGGTTTTTGTTTCTGTTTTTAAGACCTAGCTTGCCATAATGTGTCGTGCAAGGCACGTGATAAGTAAACCTAAAAGTTAAATACTTTCTCCTTTTTATTTTATTTTTTTTTTCTTTTTTATTTTTTGTCTAATTTATGATTTCATTGAGGGGAAGGTGTTTGAACTCATACGAATATTATGATCTAGTTAATTAGGGAATTTGAATTAGCTTTATTTCAGGGAATCTTTGAAATGTTAAAATAACTCAAAACATAAGTAAAGATCGATATATACATTACAAAGTTAAGGATTGATGAGAAATTTGAGATCTTCTTCATGCATCAGTACATCAACTACCAATCGATTGGGTTTTAGCAGTTAACTCAACAACACTGAATAACTCAACAACACTGACAAAATCGATTAGTAACACAGTTTGGTCATAATATAATCTGATTGGAATGTAAAGTTGGTAAAGAGAAAGGTTGAGACATGTGTTCCATTATGTTCTTACTCTGGCAAATAGTCAACTCTTTGACATCTATTCCATATGATTTTTTATTTATTTTACAATCATAACTGATCAAGTGGTTATCTTCAAACCAAATTTGCAGACAGAAGATATGTCTCACAAATCGATATCCCTCTTGAAGAATCTCAGTAGAACCACTTCTACGCGTAGAACCGTGACGGTTATCAACAGCAATGTGACGAATTCGGTGCACCAGGTGATGGATGCAATGCACGCACCGGTCTACTTCGAGACTTATGACATTAAGGGAAATATGAATCATTTGCCGCAAGAAGTGGTGAGATCGATACGGAAGAACAAAGTGTGCTTGAACGGCAGACTCGAAACCTCTTTGTGTGGTGGTGCAAGGAAAGAGCTTGGCCTCTTTGCATTTATGGTCAACTGTTTCAATCTGAACGGTCAACGGAGTCGCCAAAAGAACGTTAACATCGTGGTGATCCGAGAGAACACGGATGCTGAATATGCTTGGCGTGAGCACGAAATTGCTAAGATGTATCCAATCATCACTTACGAGTTACGACGAAATCTCTGTTGATAGCTGCTGTTTGCAACTTGTGGAGAAACTAGAGCGATTCGACGTTATTGTGACTCCAAGTCTTTATGGGAATCTAATTGCAAACATTGCTGCTGGTCCTGCTGGAGGCAATGGAGACAACATTATGCCTGGAGGAAGTTTTGGTGGTGAGTATGCAGTGTTTGAGCAAGTTGGATGTGTAAGAAACAATGAAAATCCAGTGGCGTTGCTGTTCTCTTCGGCTATGATGCTGAGATATCTTCAGCTTCCTTTATCTGCTGACCGGCTTGAAACCGCCTTGAAGCGTTTTATCTCTGAAGGAAAGTGTGGAAACAGTAATACTACTGCTCAGGAGGTTGTTGATGCTGTAATTGCAAATTTGGATTGACTTCAAAAATGTTATGATTGATATGATTCAAGTCGAGCCAAACACAGCTAGCTGATCTTTTAGACTTCAGAGAGCATGTAGTTTGACTCGCATATAGCATTCAATGTGTGATTTTTCAATGTTTGTCTTTATAGGGTGCGTGCACTTCGCGGCTCAAGCTAAAATGCTTTGCTTAGAAACAAACTGTCCATTGTTTTCTGTCCATTGTATATAATGCGAACAAGTTGTCATTGATGTAGACTGAAGATAACATTTTAGATTATTTTCTAACAAAATACTCAAGAAGCTCTGAACAAAAATGAGTTAATGTAGCAAAGAGAGTTCCCTAACAATCTGTCAAAGTTATCTATACTCACATCTGTTTCCACTATTCTTTTGCCGATCCAACCTGAGTTTTTTCTTACATTGCAGCTTTTCCAGCTCCTTTGGGCATTTTCTTTGATGCACCTGAAATTTATTTTAGATGGGTTTTGTCTTTAGAGATCGAAAATTTAGATTCTACAAATTACAAAAAAGCATAATTGGACAGAGCAAAAAAAAAGGTCCATACCATCTTCAACGTCCTTGAGCTGGTAGTAGTGAGGAGCTAACTCAATCAACCACTCTGGTTTCAACTCCGTGACCTGAATTTGCAGGTTGTAAGTATACAAACCGATGAATGAAACCAAAGAAGTAAAACCGAAATAATTCAAAACAGAGATCCAATTTTAATTACCTGTCGCATATATTCCTTGGAGGTAAGCACTAGTTCATGATATACAACCCATCTCGGCAATACCTAGAATAAAGCATTTGACAAGAAATCATCAATGTTCTTTAAGATTCTATCAATAATCAGACTTTTGTGGGTTATGTAAAGGCACTGAGGCAGAAACTAACCTGAGATAAGCCTGAGTTGGGATGTATGTGCACTGTTTGAGGATGCTTTACAGTTCGATATGATCCATTCTTCTGCAGCTTCGCAGTGTGCGGAAAAAAACCTGAGTAAACGGAGAAGATCATTAGTCAGGCATTTAGTTGTAAGGACTTGATTATTTTTTAAACAGCACAAATGAGGAGGAACTTACCAGCTACGATGGATTTCCTAACCGAGTCCAAATCATTCAGGTTTGAGCTGATTTCTATTTCCACTCTCTCGAGAAGTCCTTCCAATTGGTCACGGATATCTCTGGCTCTTTTCATGCTCCGGACCTGAACAAATATTCAACCCAAAACAGATGTCATATGGATTCACATCCAATTCATGCAATGATAGGCATATAAAGACAACTCGGTACCTGAATGTAGTTCTCGTAGCACCACTGAGTAGAATAGTTTGTTTCTTTCCATGAACTATAAACCTTCACAGAACAACAAAGACGATAAACATACAAAGATAGCACATTAGCACTATAAACTTATGGAAGAGAACGGAAAAGAAAAGAGGGAAACAGAAGGTCAAAACCTTTAGCAAAGCAATGTGGTCACCAACATTTCCAGTGTGGAAATTCATTCTTGCGTTGTCGGCGTGAACCTGCTTGTCCTTGGGACGATAGAAGATAGAGCCTCCAACTGACAACATAGCAGCAATTGATATTATCTCATCTGAGCACTTGTACTTGTCAGAAACAACAATCATCTTCGACAACATTGGATCAAGGGGAAACTCTGCCATCCTTCTACCAGCTTTAGTCAATTCACCTAGCTTATTTAAAGCACCCAGAGCAAACAGCAGTTCTAAAGCCTTCACAAGTGCTTCAGCTGGTGGAGGGTCCATGAAATCAAAGTTTATCAGATCGTGAATCCCAAGACTCTTCAACGCAAGTACAACACTTGCAAGATTCGTCCTCTGGACTTCTGGCACCGTGTTTTCCTCTAAGTCGTTGTTGTAATTAAACGCTGTGTACAGACGGTAACATTTTCCTGCGCTTGTTCTTCCAGCTCTACCAGCTCGTTGAGTTGCTGAAGCCTTAGAGATAGGAGTAATAAGCAAAGATTCCATCCCTGTTCTAGGATTATATGATTTCATCTTGCTAAAGCCTGGATCAACAACATACTTTATACCATCAATCGTCAATGATGTTTCAGCAATATTTGTTGCCAGGACTACTTTTCGTGCCCCTTCTGGAGTTGGCTCAAATATCTTTGCTTGGAGTTCGCTTGGAAGGTTTGCGTAGATCGGGCATATAATCAGTTCACGAATTTTTGTACCCAAACCTCTTATCCTGTGCTTCAAGATCTCTTCTGCAGTTTCAATTTCCTCTTGACCTGTGAAGAAGACCAATATATCTCCAAGTGGCTCTCTCACATGGATAGTAAGGACAGTAACTATTGCTGCGTCCATGTAATCAGCTTCAGGTGCACTTGTGAAGTTAATTTCAACTGGATACCTTCTTCCCGGGAAACTAAAAATTGGGGCTGTATCAAAATAATCAGAAAACTTTTCTGCATCCATTGTAGCACTAGATATCAACAACTTCAAATCAGGTCGAAACCGCGCTATATCCTGTCGAATAAAAGAAGAGCCAAAGCCAATCAGATTTACCCACGAATCTAACCATCATTACACAAGTACTAAGATTCATTGTACAGGAAAATCCACTTGCCTTAACTAATCCAAACAGTATATCGGTTGACAATGTTCTTTCATGAGCCTCATCCACAATAACGACACTGGAATTTTGCAATCAATAAGATAAAACGTTTAGCTGTTTAATAGTAATCATAAAATTGTGAAAGAATGTTCATTACCTGTAGCTGGCCAGATCTGGTTCGCCAAGCAGCTCACGCAAAAGCATTCCATCAGTCATATACTTCAGAACTGTTTTGTCTGAAGTACAATCCTCAAATCTAATGGAGTAGCCAACCTGTTTCACCAACCAACCACATTTCAGATTTTGAGAGGGAAACAATTGTGCAATAATCAACTACCAGTAGCAAAAGACGAAAAGAAGCCAAACTTACCTCATGTCCGAGTTTGACACCCATTTCTTGAGCCACACGGGCAGCAACACTCATAGCTGCAACTCTTCGAGGCTGCGTACAACCAACCTGAAATATAATAGAAAAGCATTATGGTACTTAATTTGATAAAGGAATTACTTTACCAGCCGCTTTATATTTTTGAACCCATCTAACAACAAGGTCTGCACAAAGGCTTTCTTCTTAATCCTATATAAAACTACACATTTTGTTAACTTGAAAATAAGGAACCCTAAGTTCGTCCTCAACTATATGCTCTCAACTAAGGAATAACACACCAATTTTTTGATGACTTCTACACTACCAGTTCCTTTTTGAAGGAAATTTGCGTCTTTAACTATATGCTGCGTTCTAGGTCGTACCTTTCCGCGCTTTGTGTAACCAGCTTCATGGAGATATTGTGGTATTTGTGTTGTCTTTCCTGAACCAGTGTCTCCCACAATGACAAGAACCTAAAAGTTGAAAGAAGGTTTCAAATTTTAATTACATATAGCAGAGGAAAACCATAACAAAAAATATATTTAAAACAAATTATGCACAATTTCATAATCAAAAACTTCAATCCACATCTATATTATGTACATGACACTGAAATATGATACTTGCTTTAATTTAGAAGTGTTTTCTTCTCTGTTGATCTTGTATCACTTACACATGTTCAAATGTTATATTCGAAATACACTGTTTACAGTAGGGATTGGTACAGTAAGCTTCTCGTCTGTTATTAGATGACTTAAGAAATGTAAACCTTTTATTTTAAAATCTGAGAGTCGCATTTAGTAAACTAAAGTTAATGGCATGAGAGCTAGAATCACCTGATGCTCTTCCACAGCCTGAAGCAGTTGCTCACGATACGCGTAAATTGGCAGGCTTTTTCTGACCTCCTGAATCACAAACAAGCAGATGCAAGAACATGTTAGGATAACTTTTTAAATTTTTTGCTGTGGATATTATAGAAACATACATTCTCAACTTATTCCGAACTATATCCTAAAATGAAGATTTGGTAGTTGCGTTTACACAAACAGAGTTAATGGAAAGAAACGCAGAAGAAGATAGCACCTGAAGTTCTTCTAAAGCTGTTCTCTCTGCCGCATCTTGAGATTCTTTAGCATCCATATCATGTTCATACTGCATCGCAAAAGTAAGAAGTCAGCTACAAGACAGCTTATGACAGAAGGTATCATCAGGTTTAATCTACAGTAGGCAATACATTTTCACCAGCCATCACAGATTCCTTTATGAAATTTATTTGGTCCTCAAACACAAACCTGCGGGAAAAAAAAAAAAAAAAAACAGTTAGAATCCTCAGACCATAGGCCTAATCTATGTTTCAGAAGCTAACGAGGACTATCTTTCAGACGAGATAAACAAATTCTAAAGACAAATATGTAACAGATCTCACTGATAATCGTCTGAGGCTTGCTTATTCTTTGCGCCAAATTTTAATGTTGCTTTTCCTGCAAAACAATGTCATTTAGAACAGCTTAAGAGAAACAAATGAAACTTAAACCAGTGCAGTAAAAACAAGACTGGTCAACGGAAGTAGAGTTAAAACAGAAATTACCAATCTGATGGTCCTCCCAAGCTTCTTGCTCTGCAAATGGATTCATTTTCTCTGTTGAATCCAGGTCCCTAAAAAAAAAAAAAAGAGAGCTGATTTAGAACGCCCAAAATGGTTATGAAAAATACTAAAGGTAGATATGGCAACCGAAAGTAGATTAGAATGTTTGTCAAATATCAACTCACCTGTATCGTTGTACCGCAACAGCAAATCTCTTTTCCTGATCAACACCCCCCTCTTGATCATCATACGCATCAGGAATTCTATACTGAACTCCGAGAGGTAGGAGTAAGCGGGAGATATGTTAGATATATATCGAACCTAAAGAATATGGAGGGAGATAAGATGCAAACATTACCTCCTCAACATTATCTTCATCTTGTGTTCTTTTCTTCACTAGATCATATAGCTCTTTCTTGTATCTATCAAAAATAACATATCAACCCAAGCTCAGTTAACCATAACTAAGCATAACTTCTAAAATATGAACACACCATATAGATTATATTGCAAAAAAAAAAAAAGAAAAAAAAAATTACTACGGAATTGTTTACTAATCAAAACAAGCTTGTTTCATCAGATAGATTATGGCAATGGCAACAATTATCTTGATGCAAGAATGATGTAGCAGTTACCTAAACTCACGAAGCTCTGTTTCTGTGAGCTTTTCACCTCCGAAAAGATATTGTTCATCTTCTATCTCATCCCTATGGAGAAGGAGGAAACAGGAGAAAATAAGTTAAAGAGAAGAGACAATGCCAAAATAAGAACAGAAAAATGCAAAAAATTTACATGTTATGTACCTTAGTTCTTCCAATTTCTTCTGTTCTCTCTTCTTTAAATATTCTTGTCTTGAGACTTTCCTGCATTAGAACCAACAAATATTAATCAATACTATGGACAGCAGAAAATAGCCTCCAAAGAGATCATTTCTATCAGTGGAAACACCGTTAATAGTTTCACACGGTAATGATTGACAGAGTCAAGAATTGGTAATTAGAAATCGAGTTTGCAACGTCATATAGTATTTCAATGGCGGGATTAAACATACGACACACAGGTACATTGTTGACTATTGCTCTTGTCACTTCTAGGCAACTATACTTCATTGTCTTCTAACAGTTCTATCTCTGTCAAACAATAAAGAAAAAAGTTTGTTACCTTAAGGAGTGTAAATCATCCTTCTCCAAAGCGTTTGCCCTTCGAACAGCCTCCTCTGTTTTCAATAAAAAAATATCCAAAATGAGACTATCAGGCAAAAAAGACTTACGTTTGAGAACACAATGTACATAAAAATGTTAATATATGTTCACAAACGAATTATAACGGATTGTACCTTGCTCTTTCTTTGACAACTTTTGCTCTGTTAGCTGATCATTAAACAAACGAAAAGAACATATCACTGACTTTCACATGTACAATACATCAATAGTAAACCATGCTAACTACAAACTTCTCATTCGGTTAGAGAAACTGTCTTAGCATACAGGATTGGATGACATATGAAAGTGTATCTTTTGCTTAATTCATTTTCCTTACTCATACTAAACTAGATTTGCTTGTTCTGAAATATGGAAAAACTCATTCATTAAAAATTCGTACATAATTTCCGAAAATACTTAGCCCCTGGTTGGCTATAACAAAAGGGCTATTCGAATCAAAACGGGAAAAACATACCAAGAATCAGATTGAGGCATACCTTTCTTGTTCGAGCAGTATCACGATCTCTTAAATGCTGCTCCAGTTCTTCTCTCTCCTTTTGGTCACGCAACATTTCCTCTTCTGACTGTGCCGAGGGTACAAGATCAAGCAAATTATAAAAGCACAGCTGTTAGCCACACATATCTATAGAAAATTTCCTAGTTACTGGATTTCTACAACACGAGGCCAAAACCCAGAAAATAGTTGAAATGGATCTCAAGATATACCTCAGAACCATCATCCTCGTCTTCAGAAACCTTTCTTTTAACGTGTCTATTATCCTCTCTAACACTCACCTACAATGTTGTTCACAGTTTTATCAGAAGAGATTCCAAGCTATATCTTACCATAGAGAAAGAAAGAAATTGCAATCTGTCAATAAGGAAAAGAAACTATGCCTCGTCCTCACTGTCATCTGACTGCCCACTTTTCTTTCTAAACCTTTTCTTGCCCTTATCTGACTTTCTAGATTCAGAAGCTGAAGGTTTTTTCTCCACAACGACTTCGTCTTCATCATCATCAGCATCTAAAAGAGCATATGTTTTTTGCTTCCTCACTAGCATTGCTGCCTCTTCTTCCCGTTGTTGGTAAAGCTGATAGAGGAGCAGAAGAAATTAATTAAAACTAACCAAAACTATACAACTATGCTTAAACTAAGATGCAGCTACTTCCAAAGGCTTCAAAGAGAAGACATAAGAGCAATAATGTTTACAGAATCTCATTGAGAAACTCACATTCACACCAGCAGCTTTACGAGGGACTCTGGCGAAAATTTCTTCAGCAAACGAACGAGTATCACCAGAAGAAGAAAACCCGTAATCCACCAACTCTCCCACAAGTTCAGCTGGTGATTTTGATTTTTTAGCTGCACGAAGATTATAACAACCCCATTTGAAAATTCTTAGCACAGTAGCAAATAAATTCCTTCATATTCTCCATGATCCAAAATTGAAACTATCAACATTTACCCATTGCAATGAGATAGTTAACAACAGCTGTTTGAGAATAGCCAAGTAGCACCATCAGCTTATCGGAAACCCAGGTCTTTAAATCATTGCTCGCCATTCTCACTGCATTGAGATAACCAAAATCAACTATCTAACCACAAGAGCCTCGACTTCAAAAAGTAATCAGCACACAGAAATATCGTTAATCATCGAGCGTTACAAACCCTAGAATTCGGTAACTAAGTTCCAGGTTTCAAGAAGCTTATAGAGTAAGAAGATTTCAATGGTGACGACGTCTGTATTCGAAGCTACTGATGACTGATAAGCCCGAGTGTATAAAAAGCGGAATCTATCAAAGTGATTTCACCGGAGACGGCGGTAGAAAGAATAAGGCGGTGAGAGTCTCCGACGTCGATGGAGGCCAAAAATGGAGGAAAGGGGAAGGCAGAATAAAAATGTAAGTGTTTGTTGTTTATCAGATTTCAAATAAAAAGCGTGTTGTTTTACTCATCTAGAAGTCGAATCTTTACTGTTTTCCGTTTTCACTAAATCCCAAACATTCACGCCGTTTTGCTTATGAATACACAGTAGACATAACGTTCTGTTTAATTCACATAGAAGCCAACTGTTTGTTGTTTCTTTACTTAAAATGGGCCAAAATTGAAATAGTTGGGCCTCGCATACTAATGAAACGAATCAAATGGTGCAGTAGTATCGTCGTCTATGTAAAGAACAGAAATTTCTCCGGCGTTTAAATGAGATCAGAGCAAGCACTTGACGTGATTCCTAGCTTGGTCGCGAATTACCCGATTCGGAAACTTCTCGATCACCTCCGATCCAAAAGACGATATGAGAGCTCTTCTTGCAGTCCCCAAGTCTATCCCACGAGCTTGGAAATAAAAGAGCTGGTCTTCTTCAAGATCGCTGATTGCAGCTCCGTGTGAGCACTTGACATCGTCTGCAATGATCTGAAGGTTCGGTTTAATGTTCACGGTGGCTCGTGGTTTCAGAAGCAGGCTCCGTGTTAGTTGTCCCGCGTCTGTCTGCTGAGCATATCTGCATATATATCACAAACCGATTCGAACCGAAAGACAACCAATCGAAAAGTCAAGAAACCGGAATATCAAGGCCAAGCTTACTTGTTGACTCGGACGTTGCCATCGAAAACAGCTTGACCAGAGGAATGAGCAACAATGCACTTGTGGAGCTGCCGCGAACAGCCTCGAGGATGGTCTAGAACAATTCTGCTATGGAGATCAAGAGTTTGCTCGTTAACACACATGTGAAACGTGGTTAACTCGGTGAGTGTATCGGGCCCGAGCTGCTGCACATGAACATTGTGCCTCCCTAATCTCCCACCAGTACTCACTTCTACTAGCTCATATTCACTCTCTGCCTCCTACACAGATCAATCACAAGACCAATTCACTCTCTTGAACATCGTACTCGAGCCATATCAACACATACAAAAGCTATAAACTTGACAAAAACCTTAAGAGTACACGATCCAACAATTCAATCATAAAGTCTACAACTTTCCCAATCCAGCAGCAACAAAACTAAAGGAAGACATTTTTCTGAATAATTCAGCACAAAGATGCCTACTTTTCGTATTCGAATGATACCAAAACTTCCAATATTACTCTCATCTTACAACACTAACCTCAAGTAAACTAAAACCACTGATTCTCTTCAACAATTCAGGAAAAAAGATACCAAATTTCTCAAAATTACCAACTAATCAAATGTTTTTACTTGAAAGACAAAGAAGAGAATCAGCAAAAGGTGGGACCTGACGGACGAAAGTCCACTTGATATGAGCAGCAGCCATGGATTCTCTCTGCAAGTAGGAATGCTTAACTTTGGCATTCTTCTGTACAACAACTTCTAAAACCGGATTGGTCCAGTAATAACCATCCTCGTCTTTCCCAACAAACTCCTCAACTATACCAATCTCTCCTCCTTCTTCCACTAACACAAAAACCCTAGGATTCGAAACCGGCAACTTTTTCGATCCCCGGTCACCAGTTTCTCCGGCGAAATACCTCAGATGAATCGAATTCTCCACCTTACATCCCGCGGGAACGTAAATCACAGTCAAATCCGGTGCTCCCATGCCGTTGATCGACCAGAAGAGATCACCGGAATCGAAGTTCCCGATGAATTCGGAAACCCGGTTAGTGAGCTCATCCGGTAGACCCGAGAAGCTCCCGAAGTAAACCCCGTCGGGCAAATCCGATGGACCAATCGTCAAATTCGACACGAACCCGTCGATTATCACGGCGTTTGGGAGATGGGTTTCCGTCAAATTGTCTAGAATTTGCGAATTCCAGTGATGGGTCGAGACGGGTTCGATTTGGGAGTAGCGGATGAAGGATGTATCGGTGAATCGAAAAGGCTCGTCTTTTCGCGACGGCCATGGAATAGATAAGAGAGTCTCGGCGGAAGATTCTCGGATTCTCTGGAGAGGTAAAGACGAGGAAGAAGAAGAAGGAGAAGCTGAGAGAGAGTCTTCGAGAGATTCCGCTAATTGAAGTACGAATGGGTCGGAGAAAGAAGCTTGTGCTCGAACAGAAACACTCGTAGGAGTTGTTCTTCTGTAAGGTTTCGGTTTTGGTTTAGGAGATAGATTCGGTATCGACGACAAGCGGCCGAGAACTGTGGTAGCCGCCATTAATGGATTCCGACTCGGCTCTCCCTCTCTTTCTCTCTCTGTCTCTCTTTTGCAGCGATCAGACAAGTTCTTCTCAAATGGAGTTTTTTTTTCTTTTTTTTCGTATTTTGTATCATAATCTTGTTTAGTTTGGGCTACACGGGCTTATTTGATGACCCATTTTGACTGGCCCAATTTATCGTTCTCTCACTAATATTTTTGTTTAACGGATGAATCATATTTGACATATAAAATATTTATGATGATTTAAATGATATATATTTATGTTGATTATATAAATATTTATGATTATGTTTTATTCGCAACTTAATTTAGAAAAATAGTGAGTAAGAGTCAATTGTATAATTTTAATATTAAAATTTTTTATAATAAAATATAAATTGAAAAAAATATATTAAAAAACGGATTAAAAACTTTTTGGTGGCTAAATTCATTAACTTTTAGTCATATATGCATACCAAAAATATATTTTTTCATACAAATTGTTAACCATAAAAAATTTAATATTATCACATATTGTCGTTTTTAATTAAATTTTAAAAAATTATATAATATATTTTATGCCAAATAAAATACGTTAATACATCTCAAATTTTTAATAAATATTTTTATATTATACATTAATATAAATGGATAAGTTATAACTATTTTTCTCTCTATCTAATGAATGGGGAGGGGAAGGGGAGTCCACTTTGAACTCGTCCACTCTACGTCCTACAGTATATGATTCAACAGAAATCACACAAGGGTAATATAAATAGGCGGATTAAAATTATATTTTTATAATTCCGATCATTTCTAATATTATAAAAAATAGTGAAAATTTCTCAGACTAACCTTTAAGGTTAATGAAATGACAAACCTAATCTAACATATTGAAGGGCTTACTAGACTAACCTTATAAAGTTGGTTTAAGTTCATTTTATCCAGATGTTGAATATTATTACGAAAATGCCATTATGATTTTTTCTTTTTATAAATTTTTTTTTTTCGAAAAAAATTTAATTTGGAAAAAAACTTTTTAAAAAATCGAAAATTTTTTTGACGAAAAAAAAACATTTTTTTAAAATGAAAAAAGCAAAAAAAAAAACACAAAACCAAAAACTAAAAAAAAAAACCCTAATTCATCTTCTTCTCTCCCTTTTTCTCCTGCGCCGTTTTTTTTTCTCCCATGGAGCTGCTCTTCTTCATAACTTGGCAGCCTCCCTTTTTTCACAGCTTTCTCTTCACAGCTTTCCTTTTGTTTCACAGATCCACATAGATCTTGCCTCAATCGCCGTTCAGAAACTTGTTCAGGTTTGTTTTTTTCTCATTTTCTTATTTTTTTCTTCTTTCTTCTTCGTCTTCTTCTTTCCCTTCGTCTTCTACTTTCTGTTTGGCGGAGGAGGAGTTTTACTGTTGGTGTTAGAGATCTCGGAAATATTGGCACGACTCTTAAGCGGCGTTCTCGCCGCATCGCGCATAACCGCACTGGACAAATGTTGTTTCGAAGAAATAGTGGTGTCCCGGAGGTTGACGGCGGCGTAAGTTTTTTTCTGTAAAACCCGCAACCCTAATTTTTTTGTTTCAGGTAAGTTTGGTAGATATATTTGGAAAACGATAAGTAGTTTGGTAGATTTATTGTATTTTTTTGTTGTAAAGTTCATAATATGTGATGGTAGATTTTTTTGAAAAACGATATGTAGTTTGGTAGATTATTAGTTATTTGATGGTAGATATTTAGAAAACGAAATATGGTTTGGTAGATTTATTAGTTATTTGATGGTAAAATTATTTTAGAGTAAAAACGATGTCATTTGGTAGATTTATTAGTCATCTAATGATAGACTTATTTGTAAAACGACGTGGTTTGGTAGATTTACTAGTCATTTAATGGTAATTTATTTGAAAAATGATTTGTGTTTGGTAGATTTATTAGTTATTTATGGTAGATTTATCAGTCGTATATATTTGAATTTTATATATGAATGACAGTATTTGTTTATTTTTTTCTGACAGATTATGGGCTTTGCCATGGTAAACAAATCTTTGATGGGATATCCAGCATCGATCCGACATGTTTTACTATGAACTGTAGATTTGCATTTGGTAGATTTGTTTTGAAATAATGGTAGATTTATTATTAAATTGATGGTATATCTGTATTTTGAATTTGTAAAAATGATAATTAGATTTTAAATGATAATATTGTTGTTTTCAAATTATATTTGTCGTAAAACATTGACCCAGACATTTTCACATTTTTACCACATTTGCTAGTAATGTTATTATTCAATTTAATTTATTTCTTTACTTTCACTATGATGTATATCATAACTGAATAAAAATTTAATTCAAAACACATGACTAAAATCATTTGACATTGTGATGTTGTAAGAGTTTATGTAAATAGAGTTAAATGTAATAAAAAAAATCATAAGTTAAGAGATGGTTATTACAGATATGACATATATGTTCAAAGTTAATATGAAAAGCAAAGTTATCTTAGAAAAAATATATATCATAGAAAAAATATTCATGTTAGAAATTTTTGACCATTGATTATGGCATCTATATCGTAAATACCAATAATCATCTGTGATCGAATCACAGTTAACCGACATAATCTTAGCAAACTCATGCAAAAAAAACGTCAATGGTAACAAAACCAACTCAAATATAACCATGGAACAAGTCTACCATATGTACGAAACTTGTTTAACATACGACACTTCAAAACAAGTCTACCAAACGGTAGGTTTTTTCGTAGATAGAACAATTCTTTCATGACAAAAAAGTAATTTCACTCCATAAAGTCAAATGTCTGCCAAACATTAACTACTAAGTCTACCTCAAGCATGAAAAATAACTCTACCATATAAACAAGTCTACCATAAGCATGTCATATGTCTACCAGATCAAGGTTATCTTTGTAAATACCAAACTTAATTAATCTACCACATTATTATTTTAAGAAGTCTACCATACGTTCGATAACTCTACCATATTACATAAACTCTACCAAACATACAAACAAATCTACCAACATTTCGTAAGTCTACTTCATGTAATTATTAATCTACCACAACCAGAATGAAATTTATTTTAAATTTAAGTCTACCACAAAACAAACATATCTACCACAAAACAAATAAATCTACCAAAAGTTTTTAAGTCTACCTCATGTAACATATAATCTACCACTCACCGGAATGAATTTTAACTGAATTAAATCTACCACAAGTCAAACATATTTACCACAAAAGCGAAAACTCTACCAACTATATATAACTCTACCATAAAACAGATATATCTACCGCACGTATTAACAACTTTTTCACATAAATCTACCACTAAAGGAAATAAGTCTACCAACGCAGAAAATAAATCTACTTCATTGTCAATAAATCTACCGAAAAAGTCAACTACGCGAGCAAGTCAACGCTTTTTTTAACAAGTCTACCAAAACTTTTGACAAGTCTACCATTCATAACAACAAATCTACCAAAACATAATAAATCTACCTCTCATCGTCAAAACTCTACCAAGATAAGTCTACCAACATTTAAAAACTCTACCAACTCTCGAATAAATCTACCATCGACCTAATAAATCTACCAACAAAATTTCTGCGTTGACCAAAATTTCATAAGTCTACCGTCATAGCTTGGTAGACTTATTAAATTTTGAGCGCCATAATCTGCCTACGTGGCATTAAAAAAATAATGGCATTTTCGTAATTAGGTTTTTTTCAACAAAGCGAAAAGGGTATTTTAGGTATGCTAGGTTAGTTTTGTAAAAAAAATAAAAGTGCGTCGAACGAGTAATATAGATACTTTCTAAGGTTAGTGTAGTAATCCTCCCTAAAAAATATATCTACAAAAAATAATATCTAAACACAAAAATAAATATTTTTTAATTATTAAAAAAATATATCTATAAACAAAATTGATATAAACTAAAAAACATAAATTCTATTACAAATTTCGATAAACAAAAAAAAATTCACTAGAATCTATTGGTAGATTACAATATATTTTATTTTTCCTAACTTAAAGCCTGCAGAGAGGGTCTCACCGGACAACTGCTTTACCAGCCAAATTTAATTTAAATATATAGATTATTAGCAAAACAAAAAAAAAATTGAAAGAATATATAATGATCTATCCAATAAAATTTAAAAGCGATGTTAGTTAAAATAATCTATCTAAAATATATAAGTAAAAAGCCTGTCAACTAGCAAAAGCATATGAGAATAATTAGCCTAATGAGAAGCCATTAGTTTAACTTAGCTTCGTCACTCCTAAGTCCTAGCCAATTTTCGGAAAAATTAGCTTTTTCTCCAAATATAATAAGTATTGATGATTTTTTTTAAAAAGAAGTGTTTCCGTGTTTTGAACACAATAATTCGCTCAAATTGGATGATGGGTTTCAGTTTCACCTTTTTTGTCTTCGTAGATGTCCATGAAGTGAAGAAACTAACTTTACATCTAAGAAAAAAATAATGTGAATTCAACAACAAAGTAAACTCCTAAAAGTAAACAACGCGGATATAAGAAGAAATAATAACTAACAGTTTAAGGTTTCACCGATGGGGGTTTATTTGATGCCATAGGCAATTTGCTTAATCAAATACAAAGTTACTTAAAAATATATATATATTCCAACTCACCATGAGGTGGAAGTAAAGCTCAATTGACCCGGTTCTGACTCGTGTTCACATTATAATTTATCAGACAATTTTTATTAAAAACAAAATATCGAGTGTTTCAGTCAACTGACATAATACTTCATAATAGAAACTTATTCTGTTTATAACACATCTACCCAATGAATACTACGTACATGTTAATAGAAAAAAGAATTCTACAACCCTTAAACACTAAACAATTCATTTTGAAAATCATATTTATTTCCGGAAATGATTGTTTAGAGTTGAGCACAAATTGATAATGCATTTTGATAATAGAATAAAACCGGCAGGTTCTGTTTGTGATTGGCATCAAGGCAACTACATGAAGCCTCATAAACCATGAGCTATTGTTATGGGTAAAATAACGTCAAGATGTCTGTAGGCATAGATCAGAGACGGCAAGATGTCTATATGTATAAATTACAGACGGCAATAAGTTTTCAAGTCTCTGAGTGTGAACTACTGAAGCTTTTTGATTCAGGTGGGCCACTTAGTGGAATTTGTGGGACGTTTCAGACAAGTAATCTTTAAAACTTTCGGTCTGAATTATTTTATCATAACCTATGTAAAAATAAATATTATTACTATTTTAATATTTTATTTAGGTTTGTGTTATTACTTTAATTCAACCTCTATATGACTATATGTATATGTATGATCCCTACCAAATGGTCTAAACTTACATTTTTCCCACTTCCTCTAAGTTTCCAGCATCATCAACTTCCAAACTTCAATCTTTTTCATAAACTTTTCCAAGAGAAAAGTTCTAAATTCTGAAGTAAAATCTTATTCAAAAGTGAATTTGGTCTTCTTGTTTTTTTTTTTTTTCTCTATTTCCGATATCATGTACTCTGTTTTTCGTGAATCTTGAGCTTTAAGAAACACAATAATAGGAATTAGGGTTTCGTCCTGTGGAAGTCTTGCTCTGTTTTCGACAAGAGTGAGTGAATCCAAGAGCTTATACTTCTGGGGTTTTAAGGATTTTCTATCAATAAGACAGCTAAAAGAATCATTTGAAGAAATAATAGATAAGACTACAATGGTGGGATCATCATCTTTACCACCTGGTTTCAGATTTCACCCAACAGATGAAGAACTTGTGGGTTATTACCTGCACAGAAGAAACGAAGGGCTTGAGATCGAGCTCGAGATAATTCCATTAATGGATTTATACAAATTTGATCCTTGGGAACTTCCAGGTATGTTCTTTCTTTCAAACTTTTGACTGAAGTAAATCAAATTTTGTTGCAATCTTCAAAACAATAAAATAACAAACTTTTGTTTCACTGCAGAGAAATCCTTCTTGCCTAATCGAGATATGGAATGGTTTTTCTTCTGTCGCCGAGACAGAAAATACCAAAACGGATCTCGAATAAACAGAGCAACTAAGTCTGGTTATTGGAAAGCCACGGGGAAAGATCGAAAAATAGTTTGTCAGTCTTCTTCTTCTTCCTCGTCTTCTTCAATCATTGGGTGTCGAAAAACTCTAGTTTTTTACATGGGTCGAGCTCCTTTTGGTGGTAGAACCGAGTGGGTAATGCATGAGTATCGTCTCTGTGACAATGATACATCACAAGGATCACTAAATTTCAAGGTAACAACATGTCAACATCATAAATCTAACCAGAAAGAGAAAAGATTGATTGATAATTTTCTTTTGGTATTCTTCTCTGCTTGCTCTATAGGGAGATTTCGCGCTGTGTCGTGTGATAAAGAGAGATGAGCTTACGCTTAAGAAATGTGAAACCATCTCACAAGAGGTTTCAGATGAGCCATTGAGAAACAATGTTGAGATTTCTTGTCAAGCAAATGATGACGTAGGAAAGGGTTCTTGTGATGCAAGTAACACACTCTGGACTTCTCCTGATCTCATCTTTGAATCATCGTTTAAGGTTTAATTAATCAAATCCAAACTCATAGAAAGTCCTATTAATTAATCGTAGTCACTGTGTTCTCAAATTACTTCATTAAAATGTTTTGCAGGGAAATTTACAATCACAAACAGAAGAAGATTCCGGTTTCCAAGTATTTGCACTACCCGAATTCGAATATCCACCAGAGTCTTTCGCAGATTTGAATTTTGTCTGGGAAATGGAGAATCCAGTCATGTTCGATAATTATGAAGAATCTCATATGAACAATGAAGTCATGAACTAATCATGTTCGTCGGTAAAAAAAACATTATAGTTCACTCTACAGATATACTATTATAATTTTGAATACGACAAGATTCTCTTCACCATCAAGTAGTAGTTATAAATACTCTTTTAAAATACTTTTTTAGGTCTCAAAAGTATCTATAATTAATGTTGTATATCTACTAATTACATATAAAAAGATGAATTATTGGATATTTTTATTGGAATCTTTTGAGAATTGCTTGTAATTTAATTCAAAGAAGAAGCAATATAACGGCAACAAAAAAAAACCAAGACACCATCAACACTCACTGACCTAACTTTCATCTCCAAAGATAGATTATTTTCCATATTTCCTCTAAGCATATGCCTAACCCATGCCATCCTAAGGCTAAATCCACCAAATTGGGTCATTGCAATACTCGAGGAGCCAATAGAAAAGGAAAGCGTTGAATGTGTCGTAACAATCATCAGTATTTATATAACTCCTAGGGCTAAATCCACCAAATTTGGAAAACTTGTTTTTGGTGGAAGCTATGATAACACATGGACCTTTGATATCACAATTTTGTTGCACTAAACCCATCAACACTTGACTTGTAGCAAACATTTTAATAACAAGCTTTCCAAAATAACGTAAACTCATTTTGATCATCAGGACAGCGCGTCATTTCTCATAGCATTGGCCTTTTCCACAAGGACATAAGTTGAGCAACGCTATCGATCTAAAAGACATGAGAATTGGATGATTGCCAATTCAGAGACAGGTTTGAAATCAAAGTAGATTGGCAAATGCTTGAACAAATGGGCAATCGTACTGTGCATCTGCAAATTAAGAAGATTCTTTTTTTTATTAAAACCAAGAGTAATTTAAAAATGAATGGAGTTTATATTAAATGCTTCACTGGAATCGTTTCAAGAGGGAGCTTTGGGAGAAAAAAGCAAGGGAAGAGACAGACTAGCGTATACCTAGACACCGTTCAAACTGGCGGGAAAATATGGGTCCTCGTCCACCACAACTAGAGCCAACAAAAGACAAAAGATTGATGAGTCAGAACTTGTTCCAGAAAAAGAGTTTCTTGCGCAGCATCCGGTAATGTTTTCTTTTCTTTCTTTCTTCTGAGTGAGAGTTGAGTGGAGTTGTATCTAAGCAATCAGTTATATACATTTTCAGGGTACTGCTACAATCAATGTTTCTATTCCCAAACTCATGGATACTGGATACTTTGAGATCATTGGGTCGTCGTTATTGAAAACCGTGGCAAGTTTAAAAGAGAAAATGACAGTGCTGATGTCAGTTCCAGCAAAGCAAACAGAAGATAAGTGGAAGAACCGGTTTAGTTAATTAAGGACGACAACAGGTCACTTGCACATTACAATGTGGGTACATGAGAACTCATAACCCTGTCTTTGGGAAGAAGGGAACGCTAGAGGATGCAGGAAAAAAATGCTCTCTAAATCCATGTTTAATAAAGGGTGGCCAAAAATCTGTCTCTGCTGCTTTTAAGGAATTATTAAGTTTGTTTTGGCTCTGTAAATCTTTCTAAACGAGCTCTTTAATATTGTGTGATACTTTTGTATCTGACTTTAATCTATGCTCCTTTCCTTGGGATGTTTTTGTATATTAAAAATGAGAATTCACCATCATTGTTTTTGACTGCTCTCAGTATGATGATGATTATCATCATTATCAATAAGACTATTGACTTTTGCTTCAACAACATTTTCGCTTTTTTAATACATTTTGTTTCCTAGTTTCATAAAACTAATATATACTATTATCTTCTGTATGAATTAACTACTGTCTGGAAAATGCATAAGTTTCGATTGTCACAAGGATCACTGGATTTCATCTACCCAAAAAGATGAAACTTGATTTCTAAGTTACCGATTGAATGTTCTTTTGGTATTCAATGATATTACGCGTAAGAAACGTGAAACTAGATCAACAGATGTTCCCGATGAACCATTAAGAAACATTGTTGAGGCTTCTTGTGACCATAGTGTGGTTCTTGTGACCATAGATTGGTTCTTGTGACCATAGAGTGGTTCTTGTGACGCAAGAAACACACTCTTGGCGTCTCCTGATAATTGAAACATCACTTATAACATTAATTAAAAGTTCAAATATATATTCGAAAATACTGAAATCATCAATATTATGTTATTGAATAGTGAAGGATAGATTATACAGTAGAACATCTATAAATTAATAATGTTGGGATTATAATATTTTATTAATTTATCGTGATATTAATTTATCTATAAATTAATAATTATTAATTTATAGAGAAAAATTGTTTCTCGCTCATCTTCTTCTTTAAAAATTTTTCAAATAATGTTATATTTAAGAACCTAAACTTATATACTTATAAAATGGTATGCACAAACTTAAAATTATGATTAGTAATCATAGCAATTACAAAAAATAATTATTTATATTTGTTAATTGTGGACTAAATTATCTATGTAAAATTATAAATGTTCATTAGTACAAAATTTAGAAAAAAATATGGCTACTATCTTTAATATTGGTGCTGAAATTGAAGGTACCATAATATATTTTGAAACAGTTACACGTAAGAAAATCAATTATCACATCTATTTTTTCTTTACAAATTTTGAATAGAGTTAAAAAAAACAACAATTATAGTTATTGATGTAAATAATTAAAGAGATAATTTTCAAAAAAAAATTGAACTTAAATAAAAACAAACAACACATTAATCATATTTTAGTATATTATATCTTACCTATATATACATAAATTTTTATAATTATTAATTTATGTTTATGTTGGGACTATATATTTACATAGGAGTTTCAAAAAAATTATTATCTTATTATCTTATCAAATTGTATGGATTTTTATACCGGCCCGACTCGGGACCAGATAAATTTATTAATTTATAGTGATTATTAATTTATCAAGTATTAATTTATAGAGGTTCTACTATATTTTGAGGTTTAGTTATTTGGTTTATTTCTTTTAGGTTTTAGCGTTGGTTATGGTCAGTAAGGACTGGCCATTCAGGTATTCAGTTCGGTTCTGAGTCACCGATCGGGTTCGGGTTTTCTGGTATACAGATTTTGTACTATATAAGTTTGGTTTTGGTTCGGTACCAATCAATTTTAGGTCGGTTTGGTTTCCAAGTTTTAAGAACCGATAAATATTTATATCAAAAAATTTTTTGATCTTAAATGAGCCGGATCTTTTTAGGACCCGAATACCCGAACTGAAACCGAAAATCCGAAGATTTGAAAACCCTAAACTAAATCCAAAAACTCGAAAATATACCCAAAAATCTAAAAAAGTATATTTGAAAATCTGAAAATATAAATAAAAATTCAAAATTATATCCAAAAACCCAAAAATTATAAGAATATATATATATATATAATATCAAAAATATACTTCAAATCCTGTAATATATTTAATATTTGTTAGATATATATAATTATATTTCAGATAATTTGGGTACCCGATCTTGATATCGGTTTGCTTCGGATATTGTCTGATACCTACGTATTAATGAAGAGAAACCATCAAATATTTTTATAGGTTACGTTTTGAGTTCAGTACTTCCATTTCAGTTTGGTTCTGGTTTGGGTATTGGGATCCAGATTTTTTCCCGAGGTTACTTCATCTAGAAATGGAATAAAAAAGAAAAAGAAATGAATGGTTATTAACTACGGTTTGGTTTGGTTCGGTTGAACCGTATTGTACACTTGTAAGTAAAACAATGACAACCAAAAGTTCTTGAAGACCACAAGCATTAATAAATAATAATCCTTTGTCTAGTTATCTTCTTGTGGGTTTTGTTGTGTGGCCGTTATTTGCAGGAAATGGCTTCGTGTGCCATCTCAAACACAATTCAGACCGTCAAGAACTCGAAGAGAAGAAGTCCGTACAACGGTCTATTTGGTTGGAACTCCGGCGAGAAAATAGACAATCTCCGGCCGCCGCAGCAACCGCTCTACCGCGAGGATGTCCCAATTCCTTTCTCTCTTTCGTTGGTAAACAAAACCTTTCTAAAGGGTATATAAATCTAATATAATGCATTCTTCATCTCATTTTAAGTTGCCTTTTTTTTTTTTTCAAAAAGATTTGGGTTTTGTGATTTTAAGTTCTATCACTTTGAAAACAATTCATTTCGTTTACTTCGATTTTAAAAAGCAAGTTATTATACCTTCGCTTTCGACTACTAGACTCGTAATAATTAAGATTTGGGTTTGGTGAAGACTGAAGAAGTATATGTTTTATCTGAAATTCTTCTAATTATATATCATTTTTTTATTATTATTAGGAAGAGAGTTAAAATGTTGCTACAAGGCAAGTGTTGATGGGTTTAGTGCAACAAAGTTCCATGAACATTGTGATTTCAAAGGTCCATGTGTTATCATAGCTTACACACAAAACAAGTCTTTCAAGTTTGGTGCATTTAGCCCCGAAGGCTATAGAAGTACTGATGATTATTACGACACATTCGACGCTTTCCTTTTCTATTGGCTCGACGATTGCGATGACCCAATCATCCTTCCAAAAGTTGGAGGAAGTGGAGCGGCTCTATTTGATTATGCACGAGGAGGGCCTCAATTTGGAGCTGATGGGCTTCTTATTGGACCGCCTTTAGCTCCTGTGATGGGCGGGTTTGCGGGTCCGGATACAAACTCTGGGATTGGTGATTTGAGGATGGCTAAATCAAGATTGGGTTTGTCATATGCTAAGAGGAAAGATGGAAAAGAATCCATCTTTGGAGATGAAAGTAAGGTTAGTCTTGATGATGTCTTGGTTTTTTGTAGCCCTTATATTGCTTCTTTGTATTGAATTACAAAGAAATCTCAAAAATATTTCCAAAAGAGAAATTTGATTTATTAGTTTACCGATTGAATTTTCTTTTGGTATTCAATGTTATTACTTATTATGCGTAAGAATCGTGAAACTAGCTCAACAGAGGATTTCAGATATAGAAAGAAACAATATTGAGGTTTCTTGTGACGCAAGTGAGAAGTTACAATGCATAGGGTTCTTGTGACGCAAGCACATACTATTGTCCTGATATCATCCTTGTAGAAATACTTAAGGGCAATCAAATATCAAAGCAACTGTGTCTCAAACTTCATTACACTTTTTTTGGCAGGGAAATTCACAATTACGGTTCCCAAGTATTTGAACTACCGAATTCGAATATCCACCATAGTTATTAGCAGATTTGAATGACTGTGAGATGGAGAATCCATTTGCATTCGATAATTATGAAGAAGCTCATCCTATGAACAATGAAGTCATAAACTATCATGTTCTTTGGTAAAAAAACAATAGAATTCACTAGATGTATCAAGAATCAAGATCTAACTAAGATCTCATCTATTGAATATATTGATGCTTTTCTGTGTGTACACGTAGTATATATAGTTGCATATTATAAAATTCAAAACTATAAGATTCTCCTCACTATGAACTAGTAGTTATAAAAAACTTTTCAAAGACTGTTTAGGTGTTAAAAGTATGGATAATCAATGTTGTATGCCTACTAATTACATAAGTAAAGATGACTTATTGGATCATTCTATTGATGATTTGTTTGTAATTTAATACAAAGAAGCAATTTTTCCTTCCGGAGGATACCAACACTCCTTCTCTCCTAGAATTATATTTTGGTTGTATATATCTCTCATCCTTTATGAAACTATTTCATCTTGCTTCGTTCCATTTTTTGGGTAAGTATATAAGGGTAAGTTGTATAGGTGTTTTTTTTGTTATTCTTTGTTACGATAACCTCTTCGTTTTTGGTATAAAATCTGAGCATAAAACCGAAAGAAAGCAATTTAAAGGCAAAAAAAAAAAAAAAACATCATCTCCAAAGGTAGATTGTTTCCATATATTTCTTAGCATATGACAAACCCAATCTTGATTTGGCCATTCTCAAATCACCAATCCTGTATAAGCTATGATAACACATTGACCTTTGAAATCTCAGTGTTGGTCAAACTTTGTTGCACTAAACCCATCAATGCCTGCCTTATATTAGAATAAGGTAACCTTATATTCTCCTTTGTATTTTAGTCTCTTAGTTGCCTTGTAACGTATAGCTGGTGTATATAATTTTGGGGGAATACAATAAAGAGATCATCGAATAATATTATACTAACAGCTAATCCGATTTACCATGCTCGTATTAAATATGTTGAGTTGGACTGTTATTTCATCCGGGATGAGATCATTCGCGGTACCATTGTTACTAAACATGTTTCCACTAAGTCTCAACTCGCCGATATAATGACAAAGACGCTAGGCTGTAAGGAGTTTGAAGATTTTCTTGGCAAGCTGGATGTTTGTAATCTCCAGCCTCCACCTTGAAAAGGGGGGGGAGGAGGGGTATTAAGCCATATTAAGGTTTTATTGTATTTGTCTTTATTATATTTGTCCTACTTCGGAAATATATCAAGTATTATGTTAATTGTATTTTGTATATAAGGCATAGCTTTTCTATTGATATTGATATGAAATATAAGAAACCTTTTACCATTTCTAAAGAATTTTTATCATAAGACAGCAAAAAGAACTCGGAACAATAACCCATCAAGTTCATTATTTGTTCATCTAGTAATTAATATTTGGTCAGTTTTATAAAGCCAAATATGGCACCTGAAAAAAAAAATCTATACTTTTATATGATCGCCAGATTAAACTGATTTATATGTTAAGGTTTAATACTTTAATCAAATGAAAATCAAAGGGGAAAGCTAGAATAAATAAAGAATATAAAAAAGTTTAAATGATCGCTAACATAAATCAATTTTCTCATTCCCGCGTGCTTTTTCCTTCGATAAAAACGAGAGAAGGATGTTTTGATCATATCATTTCGATTTTGTCTATGTGTATATATTAAGAGATAGTAATGCGCTTATTAGGCCTTGTATAGTTAAATTATTAGAATAGTTATTTTGTCTCACATTGTTAGTTCTAAACTCAAAACTAATTATTGTACATGTATATATATTTGTCTTTAGGCTGATGAATAAAATTACTTTCGCAAATTACTTTGATATGGTATTAGAGCCTAAGACTACATAAAATTTTGGTCTAGCTCTTGAATCAGAGTCTAAAGCTACATAAAGTTTTGGTCTACCTCTTGATTCAAATTCTTGTTATAAGTTGTGGTGTATTGGAAAACTAACCGATGAGGTTTTGCTCTTCTATTTTTGGTGGTCAATTTGGACCGACAAGGTTAGTGATTTCTATAGAGCAATTTTGCTCTTCTGTTTTTGGTGGTGAACTCGGACCGACGAGGTTCAAGATTTCTAAAGAGCCATAAAGGCTTGAGATTTCTTTATTCGGTGGAGAAACTTTGGAAATTTCTCTTTTTTTTTAGAAAATATGAGATTTCAGAATCGAGGAATTATGTGTTCTCATTGTTCGAAGTATGGTCATGATGTGAGATCATGTTATCAGCTATATGGATATCCAGATTGGTGGCTGGAGAAGTATGGAAAACCTACAAAACGTGTGTCACACACTGAAGCGTCACAGGTTAATCCACAAGCTGTGACAGGGCTCAAGAAAAATCAATGGCATAAGCTTGTTCGATGGCTTGATTCGAGATTAGGGATGGCAAATCGTGTGAGTGATAACACCTATGCAGATGAGTGGATTATTGATAGTGGTGCGTCGCACCATATGACGGGTACGTTAAGTGGTATGTTTGATATGCATAAAGTCTCACCAAGTTTAGTGGATCTGCCTAATGGAAATGTAGTGGTTGCTGATAGAGAAGGAAGTGTGGCATTAACGGAGAAGTTAACTTTGACACATGTGCTTTTTGTCAAGGAACTTAAGTGCAATCTCATCTCCGTGTCACAGATTATTGATGCATTGAATTGCATTGTGTTGTTCTCCAAGCAATTGTGTCGGGTACTGGATCCTGCTTTGCAGATTCTGATTACAGTGGGTGAAAGAAAAGATGGATTGTATTTTCTTCAAGGTATTCAGAAGATCGTGAATATGGTGAAGATCAATAAGTTGGGGTCTTTGGAACTTTGGCACAAAAGGATGAGACATGCTTCTGAAAAGATTAATAGAAGATTGCCAGAAGTGGATCAAAAGAGTGTTGGTGTTTCTGATTGTGATGTCTGTTTCCGAGCAAAGCAGTGTCGGAATGTATTTCCTGTGAGTACAGAGAAAAGCAAAGAATACTTTAAGATGATTCACTGTGATTTGTGGGGGCCATATCGAACATAGAGCGTGTGTGGATCCTCTTATTTTTTAACTATTATGGACGATTATTCTAGAGCTATGTGGGTTTTTCTTCTTGCTGAAAAAACACAAGTTCAGAAAACAATGATAGATTTCTTTGCTCTCATTCAGCGTCAGTTTGAGAAACATGTAAAAATCGTGCAAAGTGATAATGGTAGTGAATATATGGGTATGAAGGAGTATTTTCGTACATCAGGGATAATTCATCAAACTTCGTGTGTGGGAACTCCTCACCAAAATGGCAGAGTGGAGCGTAAACATCAACATATAAATGTCGCACGAGCGTTGAGATTTCAGGCAAATTTACCAATAGAAATTTGGAGTTATTGTGCTTAAGTGCTGCATATCTAATCAATCGTACGCCTTCTGTGTTACACAATGGTAAGAGTCCTTATGAAATCATATTTGGAAAAACTCTTGCTTATAGTGAGATACGAGTTTTTGGATGTTTAGCGTATGCTCACAATCAGAAACATCATGGAGATAAATTTGCGAGTAGAAGCAGAAAATGCATATTTTTGGGATACCCTTATGCAAAGAAGGGATAGAAATTATTTGACTTGGACACCCATGAGATTTTTGTTTCTCGGGTTGTCACTTTTATTGAGGAACGGTTCCCATATTTGGAGCTAAAAAATACACAGCTGGATGAGCCTTCTAATTGTGATCAAACGAGGTTATATGTGGATGGTAATGGTGGATTTGACGATATAGTACCTACCTTGACAAGGGAAATTATACAACCTTTCACAAGAGATAAAATGACACAGACTCAGGTTACGTCAGACAAGGTTGCAAAAGAAGAAAGACAGACTATAGGAAACGAAATACGCGATATCTTAGGAATTACAGTGCCACATACTGAACCTGCATCGGTTACACATTCTTGGAATGTGCAACCTGCTTTAGTGACATAACCTGCATCAGTTACACAGTCTGAGAATGTGCAGTCTACTTTAGTGACAGAACCTGCATCGGTGACACAGGCTGAAACTGTGCAACAGTCTGGATCAACAGAAACTTTGGGACGAGTGATGAGAAAGAAAGAATCTTCTGTCAGGTTATGTGATTATGTGTGCAATACGACATTTACAATGAATACATCCACTGTAAGTCAGGAGATGAGTAATGATTACGGTACCAAGAATTATGTGAATTATGAAAGGTTCTCTATGTCACACAAAGCATTTCTGTGTAGTATAACTGAAGGAGTTGTGCCAAAAACTTTTTCTGAGGCTATGAAGGATCCACGATGGAGAGAAGCTAGGAGACTGGAGATTGAGGCTCAGGAACGAAATCAAACATGGTTGATTGAACAGTTCCCACCAGGTAAGCATGTAATTGAGTGTAAATGGGTTTACACAATTAAGTATAATGTGGATGGCTCGATTGAAAGGTATAAGGCGATACTTGTGGCATGTGGCAATAGTCAAAAAGAGGGGATAGATTATTCTGATACATTTTCTCCTGTAGCAAAGATGAGCACAGTTCGATTGGTTCTTCAAGTTGCCGCTGAGTAAAATTGGGAGCTACATCAAATGGATGTGCACAATGCGTTTCTTCATGGGGATTTGGATGAAAAGGTATTTATGAGGGTACCTCAGGGTTTTGGTGCTTCTAAGAAGGGTATGGTATGTCGTTTGCGCAAGTCGCTGTATGGTTTGAAACAAGCTCCACGATGTTGGTTCGTGAAACTTTCAAAGGCATTCTTGGGGTATGGTTTTACACAAAGTAAGGCTGATTACTCTCTTTTCTCATTAGTTTGTGATAAAGTTCACTTGCACGTCCTAGTGTATGTGGATGATCTTGTGGTGATAGGAAACTCTCTTGAGGTGATACAAAAGTTTAAAACGTATTTAAGCAATTGCTTTCATATGAAGGATTTAGAAAAATTGAAATATTTTCTTGGATTGGAAGTTTCGAGAAATATAGAGGGTATATACTTATCACAGAGAAAGTATGCTTTGGATATTATTGCTGATGTCGGTTTGCTTGGTGGTAGACCTGTAGAGTTTCCAATGGAGCCAAATCATCAGTTGGGGAGGTTGACAACAAAGATACTTGCTGATCCTGAGAAATATCGGAGACTGGTTGGAAGGCTGATTTACTGATGTTGTGGTGTGTGGTGTTGAGGGTTGTCAAGTTTTACCCTA